TAGTATAGTCGAATTTCCCTGCATGAAAATTCGACAAAAGCTCACATTTCTTATTAAATGTTATTTGCCATAAACCTGATAATTCGTTGCGTTCTTGTGTGTCAGCACAAACGTTCTGTCTTAGTTTAGACGTAATTTTTATTAGATGAATATAAAAACGTTCTGTCTTAATTTAGACGTAATTTTTATTAGATGAATATTTGTTACCTTAAAGTCATAAAAGCCTATCTTTAAAAAACCATAACCTAACACACACGACGTAACTGAACCTAAGGTAGGATTTTTGGACGCCATGTTCTGGTTATCTGTATGTAAATAACTTCCCTTTTTAATTTGAGATTAGAAGCAATGTTTTCAATCGAACTGGATGGTCTGTTGTCCCACAGATCTTGGAAGGATTACGGGACACCTTTTTAGAAACGTACGCTAGGGTGCAGCATTGGTATGTTCCATACACAGCCATCTGTTGTTCGATATATGAACTACTTGCATAGTTAGTATACATCATCTTTCATACAATCCTTTAGCATGAAAAGATTTTTAAAAAAGGGTGGTTTAGTCTTTGCAATTTTTATAAGAACGTACACAGTTGTCTGTAAGTATGCAGGTCACATAGACCACACTGCCTTTTAAATGTCTATACTATCTTAAAAATAGTTCATAAGAGCCACATGTGTGTCGTACGAAGGCAAAGTAATTGCAAAGTGAAACTTTTTAATTTGTATTTGATAACACATAATCCCTGCCCACATCATCTTTGGAATATATGTACTATGTCTCAAAAAGATCTCGTGATGAGAATATATTGTGAGCTGCGTATTCTCTAAAAGGATTTGGTCCTGCCAAAATTTGTAATACGCTTAAAATTTCCGTTAATGATACTGAGTAAAAGTGAATAAATGAAAGTCTTTCTACTTTTTTTTTTTCCACTGTGTGGATTCGTAACTTGTTACCGTCTGGCATTAGGCTTATCCAGTTTTGGACGAGCATATGAAAAGAAATTATTCAGTGCCCCGAGAAGTAACGAAAATATCGCATTTAGAAATTATCGAAATTTCAACTGATGAAACATACATACTTTTAAACGCCAGTGAAACAATTTTGAAATATCTTCTCTCTTTTGTTTAACGACTACTAATTTCAAATGATTATCAACACACAGTGACGTAGAAAATGACATTCATTTATAAAAGTTGATTAGACAGGCATGTGGAATAAAGCGGTCGTGGCCTATTTTAAATAACTTCCTGGAGAAGATAACAGGATGGTGAAAAACGTCATTCAGGACACCCCCATCTCAAAATGCATGCCTTGTCACATTTTCGTTTAGTGAATACTTTTACGATTCTACAATATTGAGTTCCAGCCAAAGGTCGTCAAGTCTCAAGATGTTTTGACATGTCATCAGAAATAATGACAGCATGAGCTAGTGTAAATTTACAAGACAAATCATCTTCTATTAAAGAACAATTAATCATTGTCGTCCGCCACGTTTAGAAGAAATAATAAGCGTCCCATTTTCCCTGAGAAACAACATGCATCATACTATGTTCATGAGGGACGAGTTACCCTACATCGTGGTGTAGTATCAGCTCAGGTCTCTGATTACTCTGACTGACTTTTACGTAATTTTCATTAAAATTTACAAACAAATTCTGATATACCACCTTAAGAGAAGTGATGTTCACATTCTTCATCTTTGTTGGTTTATTCTTGATTTAAGTATCCTTCACGTCACTAAGATAATAAAGAATCGAATTATTTGATGATTAAAGTAGCCGTCACCAAAATGCATACATCAATGATACAGCAAAATCATCAGTGAAGACAGTTCACAACTCGCAGCGTAGCGAAGCTCACACGTTGAAGGTGTGTGAAGTAATTCCGCGGTCTTGAAACTTGCATCTCCGTGACGTCTTAACGCCAGATAGTATCTCGGTATTTGCCTGGAGGATCTGAGGAAAACCACAACAAATCTATATCCACTCTCCTCACCGGGACTTGAAACCTGGATCTCCCAATTACGAGCGAAGTTACGTCCTTCTTTGGTGTTCATAACTTGGCACTCGCCATTCGTAGCTTTGTTAATCATGCAGTTGAAAAGTGTCGTTAAACAATTGAACAGTCAATGTAATTTCCCTCAGTTTATCCGCTGTGCTTGAAAAATACCCGGACTCCAAAATAATCCAGAAGAAACAGGCCTTCAGGATGTTATAGGAACACCACGCGCGCGTCAGTCACGATTCGATCCTCTGTCTGTTCAGATCCGAACCAGAATACACTAGCTGAGCTTGTGGAAAGCTAAGGAATGTGGTCTAGCAAGTTACACAGTGTTGCCGATTATTATCTTGCCGTGATATTATAAAATAACTAACATTCGCTCAGCTAACGGAGAAATTCCGCATTTTATGGAACCCGAAGTTACATTACCTTGTTCACAGGAACCATTTACAGTCTGATAAAGATGGCTGTCTTCTGGGTTGTTGCACCGTGAAGTTTACCAACGTTTCGGAGGTCCTTGGACTCATGCCCTGATGATAGAGGCAGCAAGGACCTCTTAAACGTCAGTAAAATTCTACCAGACAACACGGCCCAACAACTCAGAAGCCATCTTCAGACTCAAAACCGTGAAAACCTCAAATCATAATTACATTCTACTACTGTATTATACGTTTTTATTAAAGATAATTAAATAATTTGCTAAGACGGAAAGTTAAGACAAGACTTTGTCGCTCTAAACACCATTAACGAATTGATATTTGTTGGAGGAACTATTTTTTTTAAATTTGGATGAGTTTCGTGCTTCAATATGTTAAAAGTCTGTTGCTTTTGCGTGTTGGCAACTAATCTATAATCGTTTTCAATGGATTACTTGCGGTTAAAGAGTATCCATGTCGAAAGTTAGTTCACAGGGAATTTCCGTGATTAAAATGGTGGATAACGTACGCGCATTAATATGTGTACGGACATTTGCGCCAAAATCTTACGCCTTCTGCTGTCTTCTGAGGTGGCTTCAAAGAACCCTCATTTTATCACCATCAAGAAATACTTTACATATCTGTTCTCACCTCTTCTGCTTCATTTTCGTTACGTCTTCTTGAGTTCTGCAAAGGCCATCACGAAGGAGGAAATGAGATTAGGGTCCATTCTTACACACTTAGGCCAGTCTCAAACCTCGACTAAGGCTGCTGGCCTAATGCCAATTGCCCCGCCCATCTCATTCTTCTCGACTTAATCACCCTGACAATACTGGGGGGAGGAGTACACATTTTTAAGCTCATCATTATGCAGTTTTCTCCAGGTCCCATCGTCTTCTCTCCTAGGCCCAAATATCCTCCTCAACACCCGATTCTCAAACACCTGCAATCTGTGTTCCTCCCTCTGAGTGAGAGACCATGTTTCGCACCCATACAAAACAACAGGCAAGATTATTGTTTTGTATACTTTAATTTTCAAGTTCTTAGAAATCAGATGGGAAGACAAAATATTTTGAACTGAGAAGTAGCAAGCATTTCCAGAATTTAATCTCCTCCTAACTTCCTCATGAGTATCATTTTCATTTGTTTTTGTTGTTCCCAAATATTTTGAAATCTTCAAAACCTATTAAGAAATTTTTATTTGGACCATCCTGCGTAGTTAATACAGGCATACCTCGGAGATATTGCGGGTTAGGTTCCAGACCATCGCAATAAAACGAGTCACACGAGTTTTTTGGTTTCCCAGTGCATATAAAAGTTATTTTGTATTATAATGTGATATATTAAGTGTGCAATAGCATTATGTCTAAAAAAACAATGCGAGAATTACCAAAATGGGACACAGAAAAATGGCGCCGATAGACTTGCTCGACGCAGGGTCGCCACCAACTTTCGAGTTGTAAAAAAAACGCAATATCTGCGAAGCGCAATAAAACGAGGTATGACTATAAAACCTTTGATAATAGCCAATGAGCGAGCTGTCGTGTGCTGTAGGCTTCGTGCCGACGGGGACTTTTACTTGTGTGGGAGGGAGACAGAGATTATACCAAGGTTACATCTCTTACAATGGCCTTGAAGCTGTCTCCTCCTGCATTCGATTGTGCCATGATGTTAACATGGAAATTGACCTCGTTAACTAATTACGAACGAAGCTACTGTCAGTTTATTTCATATTGCAAAGCAAACAGAACCACCACCAGCTCTGACGGCAGACGACATGTGAAGACAACTTCAGCAACATCCTGACAAATTCCCCTTTAGCTCCTCGCTATAAGATTCCGAACGTCGCAATAGAGTCGTTAGTTCTCCTGTTTCGTATTCGGGAAGTCCCGGGTTCAGACCTCGTTTCGGAGACCGGTTATCCTGATTTATGTTTATCGTAGTTTCCCACAGTGCCTCCAGACAAATGAGGCTACGACCGCTTCCTTCCACATCCTTTCCAGTTCATTATTCACTATTATCCTCTCAAACGGCACGAGAGTTGAACTACTGAAGGAGTCTTTGAGTAAATTATAAATAAATGTAAAATTAACATAAGACTGGCTTCGTAACCAAATGATCTATGTTTATGAAACTTCGAATGAAAATCATGCCAAAGGAGATGAACCCATTCCTTGCTCATAATATTAAAACTGGTCATTCCATCGATTTCTTGGTCTTCCTATATCCTTTCTTCCTTCCTATTGATTTATATGTAAGTAGGGAGCCCTTTTTCTCCCATTCTATCAACGTGTTACTTCCAGTTTAATTGATAATTTTATGTGTCATTTACAATATTTTTGGCATTTAATCGGTTTATTGTTTCCTTATTTGATAATCTGTCCCTTCGGGTAACTGCTATTAAGGGCCCGAGAAATCTCATATGGGGAGCTTCTAATCGTCTCTTAAGATAATTTTCACAGCCAAATTTTAGTGTTGATTTATATTCAAATGTAATCTCAGTAAAGTGTCTATATTTTATTTCTGAAATGTCTCTTTTATGGCTCCATTAAATTTATTGTATTTACAAAATCTTGTTTTTAGGTCCGCACGTAATCCATCAGAACCACATTTATTCGCCGCCATCAAGAATATCGACATGGAGCCCTGCGAACTTCTGAGGTGAGATCAAAGTAACTTATTTTATGTAAGACGTCGTATTTTATATGATGATAGCCATTCGAAACTACGAAATATTTTTCAAGTGATAATCTTATCCTTAGTTTGGGCTTGACAAGTTTCATTTTGTGGAGATTTACATATTTTTCCGTCAGGAGTTTTATTAATCTGTCGTTATTCATATTTTGGGCTGTTTATTGGTATACTATACTGTTATTTAACGTCAAACTACTAAATACTTAGTTTATAGAGCATTACGTATTGGATAATGTGTGGTGCCTATTCAATGACTTTGAAGAAGGTGTTCAGTGATCATTAATAATAGGTGTGATGAAGTGATGAATTCTTGCCTGGATACCCTGATAGAACGTTTTGTTATTTTTCTCGGTTCGTCCACCATCTTTCACGACTCCAGCCCGTATATGACGCAGTTCGTTTTCGAGTTTTATTAGGAAATAATTAGCATGGAATAAATCAGGCATTAGGATATTGTATCAGTATCACGATTTAATTATCGCGTAAGAAGCCCCAGCTTTGGCGTAAGAATATAGCTCCGTTTGCCAGCTCTTCATTTGGTGTCCAAACTTCGAAGCGTGCAGAAATTCGTGCAATCAGTTATACCGCCTCATTGGAGTACAATCCTGGTGTTAACAGATGGGTGGAGAATTCGCGTCTGGCTATGCCACGTGATTCGTAGATAACGCTGTACACGCTAATGATCACAAGTTGTACTTAAGTTTCTGCAACACTGCGTAGCATCTTCGTCAAATTATAACGTGTTTTTTTTTCTTCACAGGATGCTTAAATTCATTTATGGGTGGTATTAATAAATTCATAAAAGATATAACAGACATAATTCAGTGGTCTGTTTTATTCCCTGGCCAATATACGACAGAAAAGTGATTATTAAATAATGGCACTATTTCTTGTGAATGCGCACCGGGTTGGCGCATTCCGCTAGTCTCCCTCCAATCGTGTGGAGGGCGGGCGGAAGGTTTTTGTTTACGTCAGGAATTTCCTTGGATAAGACAGGGTATCAACAGAATGTCCAGCCGTAGTGTCTGCAGGTGATTCACTAACAGAGCAACTGATTAAGTGTATCAATCATGTGATTGTCCTTAAATATAGTTTTGAGTCGAAAAGGGCTGAGCGCAGTTTCTAGCAATTACCTTCAGAACGTTATCAGATACTGTGCCGTTCACTGGATTACAACTTTTATGTTGTTTTTTTTTTTCACTCTTTAGTGTGTCCATGACTGTCAGGTGTTTCACAGCAACTACTGCTAGTAGACAACTCAGTCTTGTTCTAATACAAAACGACGTAATTCATGATTACGAATTCTGTTTCGTCTTCAGGAGGTTCCGAATGTTAATGTCGCCCTTGAGACTGGCTGTCCTGACAGGTTTCTCGGAGTTCTTGTACGTCCTCCACAATAAAAACATCTGTTGCCATTGGTTTCCTAACTGACCTGTGATACACACGGCGTCACACGAATCATTTATTTTCATGGTCCGATCCACAACACTGCAACAATATCGAGTGTCTGTCCATCTGATACCGCAGATGGGTGGGGTGTGTGCACACGCTGTACGGAGGATTTTATGTGATTAAATCTCTAGCATCTTGTTCTGTATCTTGAACAATAAAATATGTTCGTAAATTCCTTTACACCGCTCAGTTTAAAGATTTTCTTTAGCCTGGGGTGATATATATTCTTTCTTCGGCAATTATTTAGGAAATTATCGAACTTATCTCATTCATGGGAGTTGTTTCCGTGGTTCGTAGTAAAACATAACGCCCCTGAAGCAACATGGCTATCGGTTACGTCATAATAATTATGTTATCGGGAAGTTTTTAAAACTCTCACTGTGGTACATAGTTTAAATTTTTTAAACCTAATTCTACAGGAAAAGTAACCTTTCAAAACGTCTCATGTTCCTATTTTGTGTCCGTGCGTTCTTGTGTGTGTATATATATATGCCTTTGTCTCTATAGTAACGTGGAGTGAATAATGCTGTGCTTACAGAGACCTCTTCAGCTAATCCGCGTCGGTAAATCACAGAACTCAAAAGAGTTCAATAGGATATTACCCTAAATCGCAGGTCCGACCACTGTGTCCGCATTGTGTGTTGTCGTGTGTTTTTTTTCTGCGTAATTCTCCTCGTCGTTTGTAGGTGTCGCTAGTAGCGCTTTCTTTTATTGGAGGCTTCGAGCAGAAATTCCGTTTCGTTAGTGTGTGTACATTTGCCAAGTGTAGTCGGTGGAAGAACGTTTGTTATGCAAGGTTTAAATTTAATCACACATGGTTTTGTTAAAATTCCTGACAAGATTTTTTTAATCCTTATTTGTTCTCTTTGGGGGTTGTGTACATACAGTAGTGTTACATTGTTTAATGATGTATATAAGAATTTAAATGTGATGTAAGGGCCTGGCTTATGTAAATATTTGGTGTGATGTCCAGAGGTTGTTGACACCTATATAATGGGGAATACGTGAGCCCTTGTGGGACAGTTGTGATTGTAGACATGTTGACTGGTATAATGGCTATTAGTTGTGTTGGGGTTATGACAAATTGAGATAATAATTATCCCACGAGCGTGGGCTTTTGGTTGGCCTGTTCTTAGCCTGGAGTTAAAGAACTGCAAAGTGATGTTTAGGCCATTTCGTCATGAATGTTTTCTGAATGTGAGATGTGTAGTAACTGCGCTAGAGACAAGGTTGGTAGCATTGTTAGGCTGTTGAAGCTAGAGTGCAGGTGTTCACTATCGAGTGACGTAACCGTTGACTGGTTATTCACGAAGGTGTGCATGACTTATGCCTCGTTATAGTAAAAATGATGTTAATATAAGATGTAGAAATTGTTGGATGTTGATGTAACTTCTGTTTCAAGGTTAATTGAAATGAGGGTTTTTGATTTGAAGGCTTGTGTACTTTCAATTGAAGTTGAATAATTAATTCTTTTAGTGGAGTCGTCTGATATTTGCTTATGTAAGTATCCTACGTAAAGAATGTCTCCAGGGTGTGTTGTGAGCTTAAACTGACTACTGCGCAATTTAGAATACAACAAATGCTGTTCCAGTAATGTAATTTGACCTGAGTAGCATTTTGGAAGGTCTAGAACAACCCAGTCTTTCTTGAAACTTAATACGAAATCAACGACTGTAGGTCATATCACGATACTTTCCACACAATAATACCAACTTAGACACAGATGGACGAAACAAAACACGTGGGTGAAAATATCTACTTCGTTGTTTCCTTTAAATTATTAATAATTAGTTCGCTTTTCTAGTTATTTTATGCTTAGAGACAGAAGGCAACTGAAAATTGGAAAGTCCTCAAAAAAATTCGTGACAAATATTTGTCTTGCGCTTATATGAAACTTCTCAGAAAAAGATGTTTCATTTTGCCGACATCTCAGGTTCTCACGGATGCGAGTTTGAAGGTGGCTGTCTTCTGGGCTATTGCACCTTGAATTCTGCAGAAATTTACTGACGTTTCGCAACTTCTTGGTACCGCCATCATCACAGTGGTGATGCAGACTACACGGCGCAACATCCCATAAGACAGTCACCTTCATGTTTCAGTATGGCGTATATTTAAGGAATTAACACGTGAACTAAATGGCTTTTTAGTCAACAAACGCAAAACTTGAGCAGACAATTTCGAAAAAGCATGAGGCTTTATAATGTAACTATGCATCGTAGTGTTTGATTGGTTACATACGTCTTCAGAGTGTAATTAATTTACGCAAAAGTTATATTTCCTATTTATCTTATTCTCATTAAAACATATTTTTCATAATAATTCAGCATTATTATATTACGTTAAGCCTACACAACGTGCCACATTTTATTTTTAATTTCGTTATTCCCTTTGTACATAATTTTATTTGAGTCTTGTTTTCCGATGTGTTTTTTAATCCTAGTTCGTAATCCCAGTAAGTCTACATTTTAATAATGATTCTTCATAAAGCTCTAGAAATATACCGAAATTCTTGCTGTTATCATAATTTTCTTAAATTATCTTTACTTTGAGTGTAATCCAATCCCGGCACATGCAAGTGTCTGTAAAATGTATTATCAAGTTCATTGGCTTACACAGCTTTCTCGGAAGTAGAGCTTTTATAGCTGTGAATATGATGTGACACCAGGGTTATTATATGATCATGGTGTCCACTGTAGCAGCTGACAAAGTGAATAATTCAGCCGTCATTCTGTAATAACTAGTGGGCTTATTGCCTTTATTACGAAGTTACTGCACTGTTTCCGGTTGCGATAAAAAAAATTTAACTCGTCTTCAGCGTTTTTGAGCATTCCCGATTACGATTTGTATTCGAGAAACATTGCACTCTTCACATCGATACTCGTTAACTTCACGTTTATGTTTGTGTATGTATCGATCTCGATATGTGAAGTGAAGTATCGATAGTCTTTGTACGTCACTGGTGCCTCCTAGTGGCTTCAGACGTGTTCGACAGAACCTAACCTAAAAGTTTTGTAAACCGCGGAAAAGTCATTACAGATATGTAACACTTAAAATTAAATTAAATTGGGGGAATAAGGGTATGTTATAAAACTACTATATAGATAAATTGAAGACGTGGGAGCAAACAGTGGGCTAACACAACTCGAGAAAGATAGAAATGAAATTAATCCTGGTTACTCAAACTCCACTATAAGATTCTGAAATACACTAATGTAAAATAAACAAATCCTCGGCGAGTTACGGAGTGAAGCGAGCAGGGGCAGAGCCCCTAGTAAATAAATATAAATATTGTGGGTACTTTTGTCACTGAAACTAATTGTTACGTTGTCGTGTATTCCCGAAAGCGACGAAATTTGCCTTCAATTTCTGAACAGCAAATTCGTAAATTAATTTAAGAATTGTTGCTAACCTAGAACTGACATCATAAAAGATAAGGCTTGTGATTTATTTTGTCAACTATTATAGAGTGTACATAGAATTAATAATGTTATGCAGACTCACATACAGCGTGGATGCTAGTAACTGAGCGTATTCTTATAAGGTTGAAATTGCTATCGAGAAATTAAAATAACAAACGATGCACTTACGAAAAAATTAAGAATAAAAGTATAATTGTTTTGTATGGGTGTGTGTAACTTGGTCTCTCGCATTGACGGAAGGACACAGATTGAGAATGGTGACGAATAAGGTAATGAAGCCAGTATTTGGACGTACGAGGGAAAAAGATACATGAGGCTTCATGGTAAGTTCCAAAATTTGAATTCGTCGCCAAATATTACTGCGATATACAAATCACGGAATATAAAAGCCATTGGCGAAATAATAAATCCGTATAAAATTTTGGTTTGAAATCCTAAAGCCAAGATAACACTATGAATAACTAATTCCATATGATGATAATATTAAAATAGATCCAAAGGAAGTAGAGTAGGAGAGTCCGAACTAGACTGATCTGATTCATGTTGGGAGTGGTGGTTGGCGCTTGAGAATTCGGGAAGAAACACCCGCCCTCTATAAGTGCAGGGAATACTTTGACCGTCGAATTTTTGAGAACTGTGTTCCATGGAGTTACATGATAATTCTTAATTAACCGCGAATACTATCGTAGGCTTTATTTTGATGTAATAGACACAACATATGTATATATGAAAGTAATAAATAATCAGACCTAATTCTAGAATAAACAATTAAAATACATGAAGTTATAAATTCTTATAAACAGAAATTGTTATTATATATAATAATAATTCCGGTGTTCGTGTGAATATTGCGTTGTTCATATTAATGTACATAAACAATATTATTTATCTTCTGTTTCCCGTAGAAAGGTCGATAATATAGGATTTGAGGTTTTCACCGGTGAGTATGAAGATTTCTGTCTTCTGGGTTGTTACGCTGTGTAGTCTGGTAGACGTTTCAGGGGTCCTCGCTGTCTCCATCATCAGGGCGATAATGGAGGCAGCAAGGACCTCTGAAACGTCGGTAAAAATCTACCAGACTACACGGCTCAACAACCCAGAAGACAGCCATCTTCAGGTCGAGAATAATTTTCCATGATAATATTTAGTAGGTACATAATGCCATCCATGTGTTTCTGTAAATTATAGAACGTCGTATTAATACTTTATTTGTTCATTAGTTGCAACATATCACAATGATTTATGCCGTAGTTGAACTACTAATTCACCAAACTAGAACCTGAAAGTATGACAAAAATATACGCATTAAAATTTACATTCTCTTATTTACTGCACATCGTCACGCGGTTTGCAGTGATAAAGAATATAAATCCTCCTTCTAAGACACGTGAATGCCATTCTAACCCATAAATAATAAAAAATAAAACATTCGCACTTCAGCATCTTATGACCATGTTTATGAGCATGGATTTCTAGACGTTTAAGTGAAAAAGTACTTTAACTGCCGAGGCAATCTTCTGGGTTGTTGCCCTGATGATGGAGGCAGCAAGAACCCCTGAAACGTTAGTGGACATCTACCAGACTACACGAGGCAACAACCCAGAAGACGGCCATCTCCAAATATTCTTCTTTTTTCCAGATTATATGCTCAGATATGCTGAATCTGTGTTTCTCCCCTAGACTCTAGGGCAGGTGTGGGGAACCTGCGGCCTTAAGGCCACATGTGGCCTTCTAGGTCCCTAAGTGCGGCCTTTTGACTGAATCCAAATTTTAGAGAACAAATCCTTTTATTTTTATTAATACATTTTTCAAGACGCCCTTAAGGTCACAAATGACGGATACCCACCTAGAGGATCAACTGAAACTGCGGACCGCCAAGCTGCAAACAAACATTCAAATGCTCTCCAACAAAAAGCAGACACAACAAAGTCATTAAAAGATTAGTTAACTTTAAAATTAACAAATAATTTTCATTTTTTGAAATTATTAAGTACATAGAAGTTAGAGTTTTACAAAATAATGTACATTTTTAAGTGTACCTAATTGAAGTTTCTTGAATGCGGCCTTATTTGATTACAGCTAAATTGATGCGGCCTTCCAACATGAAAAGGTTCCCCACCCCTGTTCTAGGGTCTAGAATAAGAATTAAGTTGATATTTCAAGTTCTCACTGAAGCGAATATGAAGATGATTTCTGGGATGTTACGCCGTGCAGTCTGGTAGACGGGCAATGAGTATTCGTCACCTTGATTATGGATGCGGCAAGCAAGCAAGGACCTCTGAAACGTCGGTAAACTTCTACCAGACTACAAGACGCAAGAACCCAGAAGACAGCCATCTTCAGACTCACCGACGTAAAAACCTAAACCTCACAAGTAAAATGAAAGTCCGTTCAAAACCGAAACGCATACGACAAATATGTAGGGGTTCACTTCTTTTGAATAATTTTTTCAAAATTAGTTAATTTTGAACATCGCTTTACTCGAGAGGTTATAAGATAGTAAAGTTGCGTCATATTGTGATATAATAAATATATATTGTTAAATCTTGTCCGTCTAATCACAATAAATTCTTATTAAATATTAAAATATTACAATAATTAACATTTAAAATATTTAAAACATCGTTTGATATCTGATAAACATCTGATAAAAAATGTACGCTAAAATAATATATAGAAATTGCATTTAAGTTATTATCAATATATATCAAGAGGTTATATTAAATGAGTACGAAATACAATGGCTACAGTTACTTCAGTATAATACGAATCGTACGTCTTTCATTACGCTCGACTCAGCTGAGTTTTGAAAAACAAATAACACCGAACACGTCCCTCGCCATTACTCAACAGCCTCATGATGAAGACGATCAATTTCTACCACACAGAAAAGTTTGTCCCAAGTTAAAATTAATAACGCACGTATTTTACGTCGTATTCACATTTTTAATCGGTGACAATTTTTCTATCATCAGATTTGAGCGTAGTCTCGGATCATATTAGTGCAAGAACTACGTGAGGTCATCGTCGTGTTCACAGGGTCCCGCCACTGGTCCATATCCTGAGCCAGCTGAATCCAGTCTCTTCCTTTAGGGTAAAAGACTAACTTATTCACACATAGAAAAAAGGACAAATTATAGATTTTTTGGTGACTTTTCCATCCACTGAAATAAAATACGCGAATCTACCAAAAATCTCGTAGATCATAGACACTTTCCCGATCACCGCATTGAAAACACATGCAGTTACGTTGTATTTCTTCTGAGTTTGTTACGTGTGGCATTTCTCATAATATCTGCACCTGATCTGAGTAACATTTGCTCGCTTTATAGAACGCATTTTCTATCTTAACATCGTCACATCGGTTTTAAATAGCTCGTAAAACTTCCCACTATTTAAAACAACCCATCTCATCTTCAGCAGTCGTATGACATTTTATATTAGTCGTAACTACGTTTTACTTTATATTGATAAGACATTTTATGTTTAACATTAATTTATTTGTAACTTAAGGTAAATGACAGCAGAGTTAATTTTAACTTATTAATTTATGAGATTTCTGTGTTACAGAAGTCACTTTCTTTGTTGGTAGACCTGATTTCTGTACTCCGATGACCCTTCTTGTACGTTTAGTACGTTTTGAAACTTACTATTCTCCGCCACCGAGCTGTTGACGTAATAAATAAAACACACTACAGCTACTTTGAGTTTCAGAGCTGTATTTTATGTTTTAAAGACACACGAACTTTTTTCCCCTCAGAGTCTGCATGTAACAGCTGTTATAACTGGAGCAGTATTAATGTTTACAACACATGCGTTCACATTTGTACACGTAACAAATCACCCGAGACTGGGATTCGATTCTAGGCAGGTGTAGGGATTTTCCTCAGCGCCACCACACACACACACACACACACATGGCCTGCTATTCAGTTCGTATTTGGGGATTTTTTTTCCTATGGGTAAAATTGTCGAATTGTCTCGCCTTCATATAGGACATTGATTCAAAATGTGTCCTGTTAAATTTCTAGTTGCCATATTTGTCTTGATAGTGGTACCTTTAGAACAGAGAAACTTGTATATTTGTCATTCACACGCAATGAAACATCGAAATGGAAAAGAATTAAATTAAAACTGAAGTCACACATGTTGGTTACGCAGCTGATATATCGATGCGGTAATTTTTTTTACAGATTTTGCTTCATATAAAATACGTACGTATGCATTTTAGTACCAAAGCAAACCCAAATTTTATATAGGCCTTTGTAAGTTTAATTTCCTGATAACGTATACAAGGACCTGACATGTTAAAAGAAAGTTGTTATCAGATAAGCAATTATATGAGAAATTTATGTAGAATTTGAGGTTTTCACGGCGTTGAGTCTGGTGGAAATATACCCACGTTTCAGAAATCCTTGCCGCCTCTATCATCAGGGCCAGAATACAGCCATCTTCATGAGAAATGTAGTTTTGGTGTGGAGTAATGTGAAATGCAAAAGTACTTACCTTAAACACTGAATCGACCTTGTCAAATTAAGGACTGCACACTAACATTTTGCTGTCCTATCATAAAATTAATTCTGAACAATGAACGGTAAGAATTTTCTGTACTTGAATTACTTAAGTTTTAAAATAAGACTGCCCTAATTGAATATTTTTTGCGAAAAATATTTCAACACCATGCGGACAGATTTCTGAGTTATAGAACATAATACAAGCACGTGTTAATGATATACATGTATAAAACTCAAGTTTCTACATATAAATAATGAATACCCTAGTTTTTAAAATGTAAATGTTATATGAATAAAAATTTACTTGGATATTATCCATCGTCTAGTAATAAAACGTAAAAAACGTAAAACGACGTTTCGGAGATGGGGCTCTATCTCCGTCTTCAGGTTCCTACTCAGTTGGGCCCACTAGATAGAGCTAATCCCTATCTCCGGACAAATTAAAAAGTGAAAGTCCCAAAATAAAAAGGCATAATATAATGTTATAGGTTACGTAAACTTACGTCTCTGTTGTTTGTGGCATGTCTACGAGTAGCCAAATTTATCGGGTCGTAGATGGATAAATAAACTCTCCTGCTGATATTAATTCATACACAACACACAAATCTGTTAAATCACTGCGTTCAGTTGCGTCAAACGGATACTGAAGTACAGTAAAAGAAGAGGAAATGCGGAGATTTTGCAAACGCGTATTCGAGCTCGGAGTACAGAATGTTCACTGGACCTCTCACTCACTAACTCGCTCGCTCACACACAGTTGTCGCTTGTGCCAACTTCACCGTCAAAGGAAAAGCCCGCTAGCAAAGTTTCAAAGTTAATATCGTTACTTGCCACACACCAGGCATCTAAGTGGGCCAGAAAGCTTGCCAGTAGGTTTCTAAATAACCGCTTATGACTTTGGAAATGTCGTGTCTGAAATGTGTGGGTTGAGAATTGACGGTTGATATTAAAGCTTGGAATGAAAAAGTATGTAAATTCATTGGAATTTATGATCCTGGCGTTCTTGATATTGGTGTGGAAATTACAGATTCATAGTTCCCAAAGAAAATTCAGTGTACATGAATAAATATTAAGTACCAGACATGATGAAGTCCCAAGTGAACAACAGTGAATTCTTTAGGAGAATGTTTTCTTGTTTTACTGGTAACACGGCTGACAGACGTAATACGGCATTTCCATTTGCTTAGTATTATAATAACTAACTAACTGGATGGCTTACCGAACCCGGAGGTTCATCACCGAACTAACCAAAGCCCTCCACCGGACCCTATACTGGACCAACAAAATCCAGTCTCCTTCAACTCCTATCTCCCATAGATCCCGCCTGATATTATCCTCCCATCTACGTCTAGGTCTCGCCAGAAGTCTCTTCCCCTCAGGCTTCCCAACCAATACCCGGTGCACACCTCTTG